TCTTAAAGGCACTGCCACACAGGTGTGGCCATGACATGGCACTGTCCTTATTCCGAATGTCCCAGAGCATCTCACAGCGAGTCACAGAACTCCAACCTAGTGGCTGAATGAAGGTCACCACCATTAACTCTGTGCCCGCTTTCCCTCTGAAGCCTCATCCCAGACTTGGTGACAGCGATGCGGCTGCCCAGCCACACCGCCCTTGGGAGCCGCGCCTCCGCTTCCAGAGGCGGTCGGCTTTGCCGGGGGTGGAGAACCGGGGTGCTCACCAAGGGAAGCCCCGTCCCATTTTTCCCATGGCCGGTGACAGCCTTTACCGCTGTGGGTTGTAGTCCGTAACGGTGCCTACTTTGCTGTCAGTTGCCTGTGACGTGGTAGTAATGACACCAGACAGAGTGACCGTAAATGCAGTTTCACTCTGTCACCCATGATTGGGGGCCCTGGGCCCTGCGTCACTGAAGACCACGTCGAGCACCACAGCAGTGGGTGAGCCGCCCCCATCTGCGCAGGAGACGCCGACTTCATGTTCATCTTTGTCAGCAGTAGTCGCTGTTTACTGACTGCTTCGTAAGGGACGCTGTGTGGACTCCTTGCTGTCTGGCAGGGACCGTGTGGAACATGGGATTGAGGGCTGGAGACTGAGAAGAAACAGTTCCCTGGCCAGTTTGGGCAAAGGCATGTCTGACCTGAAGCCCACGGCTCCCGCCCACTGGGCGCTGTTGCCCCGTTTGTATCAGGCCACTAGACAAGTCCTTGCATGTCCCCTCTACTTGGTGACGGTCAAATCCTAAGTTTCCTGCAGACTTACAGGCAGCAGGGTCCAACCGCATTCTAAACTGCTCTTCTGAACGATATCTGACCAACTTAACATTGAGAGTACAGGAAGAATTTCTCAATATACAGTGAGAAGAGTCCTTCCCCACCTTAGAATCTCCTATTCAGTTAGAAAGTCAGAGGAGCTATCTTGCTGACACGCCTCCCGGGGGGATGGGGGGAGATGAAGCTGCCACTGCCCTTCTGTCCTGTTCTGCTGCCTAAGATGAGACCCCCGAGCACAGGGCTGGGGCAGGTGCTGGGGTCCCGTGAAATCGAGCAGACCATTCTCACATTGCTTTCCAGGGTTCCTGACCATCAGGATATAGCTTTTGGGGCCTTGCAGCAGGGGACCAACTGCCTTGACACGTTGGGACACTTTGCTGACGGTGTTGTTGGAGTTTATGAATGTCACAATGCTGGGGGCAACCAGGTATGAGCATGGGGTGACCTGGAGCACCGGCAGGCCCAGAGGGAACCGGGAGGGGTCCTGAGGTAACAAGTCCTCACTGTCCCCTTGTCCTGCGAGGAAGCACTGGTTCCTGCTGTTCACAGCCCCTTGCAGCCAGCCTCAGACCTGTCATCAGCCTCAAGCTGGGAAGGTGCTGACATGGGGCCTCCATTGTCCAGGCACGGCTGCAGGGCTGGTGGCCTTTTCCTCCTCCTTGTCCTCCTGCCACCTCTGTCCTCCCAAGGTGTGTGCTTAACCCCAGAGCGCTTGTGTGTGTCTGCATCTGCGTCTGGTCTCTGATGTGCTCACAACCCCTGTGGGTGTCCCTACTTCAGAGATGCTTCTCCATTGGCACTGTGATGACTCAGTGTTCCCTGCCAATTAGGTAATAATAGCTTGAGATACAAAATATTAGTAATTACTTGCTTCAGTTTGACACACACACACACACACACCCTTTTCCTAGAGGCATAAAAACCTTTTGTCATCACTGAAAAGAAGAGAGATATGAGGCTTAATAGGCCCGACCACAGCCCGTGTGTTCCAGAGGACACTGCAGAGGGCGGCTTTCCCGGGAGACAGTACTTGGTAAAATGTGAGCTTCGGACCCAAAGCTGGCTGGAAGTACTATGCACTCTTAGCGCCCTGAAAACATGCCCAGCTCGCAAAGGGCCTGCAGTTTAAAAAAAACAATAAGGCAGCTTAGCTCAGTGTATCTGGATTTATTGGTCCCAGAACCTTCTTTAAATAGAACCATTTCTATAAGAGAGCTCCTGCGTTCATGTAAGCTTGGCTGTTCCAAACCTCCCAAGGAGTGTCTGGGCAGACTGTGGTCCTCATGCACTTGGCCTCCTTTCTTTACTTAGTGATGTCATTGAGCCGTTGCTTGCAATGGCTTGGACGTCCTAAATTAGGCAAGAGACACTCAAGAGAGGGAGGGCGGTCCTCATCTCTGGCTGGCGTCAGGTGCTGCCCAGCATGTGTGTGCTGCACCCGGGTTCCCAGGGCCTCAGCTCTGCCCACAGCGGATGCCGCGTGGCTCTCGGGGGGTGCTCTCCAGGGAGCAGGCCGTGTGGTCCGGGTAAGCACACAGCCAGCCTTGCTGTGCAGCCTGACTTACTAATTTTTTACTATTTAAACCTGTGACATGGGTCCCCGCATGTGTTCTTGCCCCAGGCCCTGCAGTGTTAGGATTGGGCCTGGAAGAGAAACCTGCAGATAGGGGAGGAAAACACAGGACAGCAGGGACGAGCAGGCGTCACGGGCCAGGCAGTGGTCACTGGTCAGGTCAGGTGGAGGGGGTGGTGCTATTCCCGCTGAGAGCATTCACGTCCTTGTCAGCCCTTTGCTCTGAGGCCCGGAAATTAAATGTGGTTTTCACTTCATGCTGGGAACCCGGGTGGCCTGTGTGACATCGCAGATTCTCACAGCGGTGGCACAGTAGGACATGGGGTTCGCCTGCACAGAGCCATGCGGCACTGCGCCTGCACCCAGCTTGCTTCTCCATGGGGCGGGCAGGCAGTGCGGATGAGGACAGGTGACTTTTATGTTTCCATCCGTAACCATAATGAAATACTAAAATTTCACCCTCAGAAAAGCGAGGCCCTGTGAAGACAGGGAACTCGATGGAGCCTGTTCTCCAGACGCTGAGTTTAGTTGAGTCAGAAAGCCAGCGCTGGATGAACTCAGGCATTTGGCTGCTTCCCTTTGGTCTGTGTCCCGAAAAATAGGAGTGCTGGCCCAGGTTCTGCTGCCTGAATTTCTAGGCTGACCTCCCTCCCCCACTTAATGGCTCAGGTTTCCCTTTGTCACACTAGCAGTGACCTGATGACTCAAGTCACAGGGCTCAGGCCACTCTACTCAGCAGCCCTACTGGGAAGCACTGAAACGGAAGTCAAGTGCTGGCTCTTCCTACAGGGTTTCCCGGACCCCAACCCCGTCAGTGCCCCCTGCGCCGAAACCGTCAGTGCCCGTGCCCCCACCCCCGTCAGTCCCCGTGCCCCCACCC